AATCACATAAAAGAAATTCAGATCTTAATTTGACTGCAGCTAACGGTTCTTCTATTAAAACCTATGGTACAAAACTTTTAAAAATTGATCTAGGTTTAAGACGCTATTTTGAATTCCCTTTCATATTAGCGGATATTTCAACCCCAATCATAGGCGCTAACTTTTTGGAGAAATTTGGTATATTAGTTGATATTAAAAATAGAGAAATTACTGATTCAACAACAAAATTGAAAGTTTCTGGATCATCTGGTTTTTGCGATATATTTTCAATAAAATTTTAAAATGATTTTTTAAATGATTTTAAATGATTTTCCTTTAATTACTTGTGAACCAGATTACACTAAACCAGTGCAACACCAAACGGTTCACAGAATTGAAACAAAAGGAGTGCTACCTTTCTCTAAACCACGTCGTCTTGATCCAATTAAATTCAAAATAGCAAAAACAGAATTTGAATTTTTAAATAAAACAGGTATATGTAGACCTTCACACTTTCACATTGCATCTCCTTTACATTTAGTTCCTAAAAAAAGAACCAAATGATTGGAGACCTTTCTGCTGCGGAACTGTGAGGCAGACTAAAAATGTTATGACCTAAATCACACAATTCCCCAAAAGCCGCTTCACCCAATCCATTCTTACTCAAACTTACTTGATCCCAAAAGCGTTCTATATTGGTACAGTTTTTGAAGTTACCTTCACTCAGCCTCAATTTGCGAAATTGAGGTTCAATTATGTCTGCATCATTTACCAATGCAGGAAATTGGTCGAGTAGCGGCAAAATTGATACATCAGTATCAGAAAGAACTTTATGTGGTGTAATAATTTCAAGATAATTAATATCTTTTCGATTGAAATCGAATATTATTGTCATGTGCTAAATGCCTTGATTAAAGTTTTGCTACCGTTTAGCAGGTGTTTCCAATCGGCTCTATGCTGATTATCGTCATCGTCGACGATCGTCAGCGCATCAGTAACATGGCTGACGATGGCCGTATCGTCACTTTTACTGACGATGACGGTGTTCAACATAGGGCGGAATATTCATCAATTAAATAGAAAAAATTGAAAACGCGAAATTTATTGCATGAAGTGAAAGGGTCATAATAACCTAACCAAAGGCTTGTGAAATGGGCCATTTTAAAAAGAATTGGACCAATGGACCAAACGAAAAGAAATGGACCAAATTTGGTCCAATTGGACCAAAACGGTGTTTCTAACATGTTCGCTCAGTTTTTTTTAAATCCAATTACTCCATTAACTCCCAAGCATACTTTCACTATCCGTTTAAACTAAGTCCAATTAACTCAATACATACACCAATAATATCTTCCGATGGTGTATTAGTTTACCTGAAGTCCTTAAAGCAGTCTTTTAGTCATGGTCCTGACCAGATCCCCACTTGTTTTCTTATAAATTGTGCTGATTATCTCTATGAGCCGTTAACAACCTTATTTAATTTGTCTCTTAAAGAAGGCATCTTTCCAACCATATGGAAGGAATTGTTCATAACCCCGCTACATAAAAGCGGTAGCAGGTCCTCGGTGGAAAACTATCGGGGCATAGCTAAGCTCTCTTCAATTCCTAAATTATTTGAAACAGTTATTACAAATCAGTTGACGCATTCTATCTCCTCTACCATTTCATACTGCCAGCATGGGTTTTGCAAAGGCAAATCAACTTCAACAAATTTACTTGAGTTCACAACCTATACCTCAAAAGCGTTTAGTGAATGCAAAAATGTGGATGTTATAAATACCGACTTCAGTAAAGCATTTGACAAAGTATGCCACTCGTTGCTCATCTATAAACTTGATCTTCTTGGTCTTCAACTTAATTTTCTACGTTGGATCTCTACATACCTCTATGATAGATCACAAAGGGTTATGTTTAAAAATACTATTTCTGACGTATTTTGATGTTACTTCAGGAGTCCGGCAAGGTAGCCACCTAGGCCCGATTCTGTTCTTGCTTTTTATAAACGATATTTCTACAGATATAGAATTTTCAAAAATTTTAATGTACGCAGATGATGTGAAACTTTATAAATCGTACGTATCAATCAAAGAAAAGCATTTGCTACAAGCAGACTTAAACAACATGTCTAACTGGTGCTATGTAAATCGTATGCCTCTAAATCTGGAAAAATGTAAAGCAATGTGCTTCTCGCGAAGAGCTGTTCAGCCACTTTCTTATACAATAGATAACCATAATTTGGAACAGGTATACAATTTTGTGGACCTTGGTATCACAATGGATCCGAAACTTAATTTTAATCTTCACATTAATGTGACAGTCAACAAGGCTAAAGATGTACTTGCATTTGTGAAACGATGGTCAAAAGAATTTAGTTTATATCACTAAAACTCTGTTTACAACATTAGTTAGGCCAATTCTGGAATCCGAATCGGTGGTTTGGAATCCAAGGTATCAAATTTACTCAAGAATCAATTCAAAAACAGTTCCTACTTTTTGCTTTAAGATATTTCTGTTGGGATTCTCAATATAACCTTCCGCCTTATACGAGCCGATTAAAACTTATTAATCTTCCTACACTTGTCAGACGCAGGGAAATGCTTGGTAAAATTTTTATGGTTAAATTATTGACAGGCTCAGTTTCAAGTCCGCTTCTTCTGGGTGAAGATAGCCTTAATGTTCCCTCCCGTGTACCAAGACACTATTTTTGAAAACTTGTAAAACTAATTTTGAATTACACGAGCCACTCCGTTGCTTATGCCAGGATTCTAACTCTCATTCCAGCACATTTGATATATCTGATTCGCTTTGCAGCATTAACACAGCGATGCTATCCTCTCTCAATAAATGAATCATTAACATAAAGA